ACATTTCTGTGCTTAAAATATCTGTTAATCCAGTCAGCTAAAACATGCTTCTTGTGATATTGAAGTGGTTAATCTGTTGCACAGAATCACCTGGCATTACTAAATATTTATTGATAAAAAATTTATTGTAAATAAACCACAATAGGTACAAAATTACAGTGGCTAGGCTTCTTGGAGGCATCCTCTTGAATCGTAACCAAATTTTATCCAGGTAAATCCACACTGGGAAAGGACATTGCTATTGTTTCAGACATTTACAAACAAGTTTCTCTGTAATGAAGTTAATCAGTAAACTATATAACCTCTGGCCTGTGTCACTCCTTTGCTAGTCTTAAAGAAAGTTCTTACAGTAAAGTAGTCAACAGGATATGGACAAAGCAGAATTAGGAAGTTTTATATATATGTAGTCTTTAGTGGGGAGAAAAGAAGAAAAAGAGAGGGAAAGGAGGACTGGGTACCTTAAGGAGAGTATTTTTCTTCAAGAAATGGTCAGACTGAAGACAGCTTAAGGTAGGATATTGTCCTGTTCTCGCTTGGACATGTTTGTCATCTGATCTTGTATTCTGCCTTGAAACTGTAGGATGCTAGAAGGTTGTTTAAGCCAAGTGATCTCTAAAGATCTGCAAATAATTTGTTTGGAATTAAATCGGGCTTTCATTAATGGTTACATTATGGTTTCCAAATTCCTTAATCTCAAATCTTATTCTCATTCCTTTAAGTTCCTTCATGAATACCCTACGGAGAGTCAGAGGTTCATATTTTAAACCTGCTTTGAATTTTTTCCCCTTTAATTAGCTTTATATTAATGGAACAATAGCTTTTACGTTAAAATGTGATCTCATTGTAATTTCTGTAATATTCTGAATAAAACCATCTTCAATCTGCACATAACTTCAGTATAATTCTGCAAATTGTAAACACTTTCTTTAGTTCCTACAAGGAAAATTCCCTTTCATTTCTACAAGCGGTTAAGTCTATGTCAAGTATTTTTTTCAAGTCTTGTGGTGTAAAATATTCTGTGTAAAATTTAAAGGAACAAACCCAAAGACTTCAATGAGTTTCACTTGCAAGTGGGATTGTGGAAAAATATTTGTAAAATGATGACCACACCCATGTGAAGGTTTTAGTTTGATATTGGTAAACTTTCTGGATTTCTGTAAAATGTTTTTAATTGAAAAACATTTATTTGCAAAACATAATCTAAAAGATCTACAGCTATAAGTAACATCACATTTGTGTGCGCTTAAGTAGTCTTTCTTTAAAAATGTAAAAGGTTTGCTTCCGAAAGGAAAAACTGGTAAACGTTTCAAAATAGTTCAGACTACACAAATATAAAATATCACTGTATTCCAGTGAGCTCGTTTCTGATTTCACTTTCACTGCTTTATACTACTGCAACTCCAGCAATTTCAGTGGGCCGGCTGCTGCTTTACATGAGTGGCATGAGACCAGCCCATCTCAGACTTCTACTAGTATACGTCTGGATAAAAGCATATGTACATTCTGGCTGGTGAGATAAGATTAGTTTTCCTTTGTGATAAGAAACTATTTGTTCTAGACTCGCATGTACTTTCCAAAGCGTAATTCCAAAAATCAATGTGGTTTTCAAATGTCACACAGGACAGAGTAGTGCACCGTGTGCCTCCGAAAGCAGAACCCCTTCGGCTTTTGTTGGAAGCCTCGTGCACACAGAGGGCTGGGGAACACAGCTCAGACCACGCTTTCTGGATCAGGTCATAGAAATACTTTGTCCCAACAATTTCAAGGCATCTAGTTTCTATTTCAACCTCATAATTTGTTTCAGTTTTTTAAGATAATATTTCAGAGTAAAAGGACATTTCAACTTCAAAAACGAAACAGTTTCATTGTGAAATCATCTTTATGGAACACCTCCACAGTTTTAAACAATTATTTTTAGGAATTATTTTAAATTACTAATGCTTTGGAGCAGACCATTTCTTGCAGTGTTTAATTCTAAACTCCTTGACAATTTTGTGGGAAAAAAAAAATAATTTGACAACTGTTTTTGATCTGCTCTGGGTAGAGAATGGTGTTTCACTGAGTCAGCACAAGTTGACTGATTTCTAAGGATGAAATATAGACACCCACCAAGCCCTTCAAACATGTCTACTTTAAAAAACAAAACAAAACCCCAAACAAACAAAACCAACAACAACAACAACAAAACAACCACAAAAACCTTAAGCTAAAGTGGGAAACCCTACATAGTTACAACCTCATTATCTTTAAAATTCAGTCTGGTCTCCATAACTAGTATCCGAGCACTTCCCTGAGTTTTAGCTGTAAACCTGTTTTACAGAAAACGAGACCACATTCTCTCAGTCTCTCTCAACCCTGCCTGTGCTCCCTTTTCCCTTCCATTGCGCTGAGCATGGACTCAGTTCAGCTGGGTTGTTTAACTATTTGCCTGACACAGAAGGAAAAAGAAGGAGATACGGGCTGATTAGGTCGTCTGTCCGTCCCCGTCCCCCCCATGTTTAACTTTATACATTAAGACTCAGATTTTTTTGTTTCCTCCAGAAGCAGAGTAGAATTAACGATTGTGAGGATTTTTATAAACATATCTGTAACCCAAATGGACCTACAGTGGTTTAAATAAACACCAAATATTGCCTCAGCATGTGCTGCAGTTCTTTAGCAGTCCTGAATTTTTTAACAAGCCCTGAGTTTATTTTTTTGCTGTGCAAAGAGTGTTGCCTTCTCTTCTTGCTCTTTCAGAGGCCCATGAAGTTCAGATGGCTAGTATAGAGCTTTTGTGGAATTTTCTGTAAATAGCATAAAGTTAAAAATCAACAGTTTCTTCCCTATCATTTTGGGATCATCCCACTTTTCTTTATCAAACTCAATCTACTAATTAATTACTAACTAGCAAATGACAACTTAGGTCTCCATGGTGAACAGATTCCTTTCCAAAGAGACACTGAGTGGTTTGTACAATGATTGTGTATCTCACAACGCCAGTTTTTGTACCTGAAATATCTTGACCAGTCTTAATGAGCAGCAGTCTCAACAAACAATAAATATAATTAAAGAAAGACCACCCACTCATTAAACCTATACTGAACAATAAAGGTCAGCATCAACCGTTGCTGTCCTCACCCTTTACAAGTTTTGTCACCGCTGCAGCTGGCAGGTATCAGTGACAGTTCACGTTTGAGGCATGAAGCTCTACCTTCACCTCCAGGCTCTTCTGTAGCATCCCCAGATGCCTGCACTTTGTCTCAGGTCTCTGTGTGTCTGTGCTGTTTATTTAAGGGGGTCTGGGGAGTGCCTTCTGCTGTTCTGCTAGTGTAGTACTCGGGGCCCTGGCCTCTTCTGGAGCAACTAAACGCAACCATAATTAAATGAATTAATAATAAATGGCACCATTATTCTCATTTGGTTTTGTGTCACGTTTTTCCAGACGTACATCTCGCTGCTTATTCTTGAACTGGGACCCCAAGATTTGCTATTGGCAAAGATGTGCTGTGGACGATTACAGCAATCATACAAATCCAAAACACTTGTATGGCTTCTGCAGCACAGTAAAGTAGCAAGGGCAGAAGGCTGCAGAGCAAAAGTGTGAGACCTTGAAATTGAAAATGTAGGTGAAATGAAAAGGTTAGTTTCTGGCACTAACTGAAGTGAAACAAAGGAGAGGGAAGAATCCTGTGCTATAGATTTTAATTATTATTGTCATTACAGATGTTCCCTCTTCTTAAATGTTAGCATTTCTTCATTGTTTTGGATTCCTCAGGAGTGAAGACTTGCCAGGGAACCAATTTTATGTCAGCAAAAATGTTTTTGGAGTGCTTTTGAAGCACTGTTAAGTAATGGTCACCAATGAACATTAATCTATGATTTCCTTGTAAGTACTGCTGTTGACTCCAATAAAAGTAGGACTCAGCATCTTCCTGGAAATATGCACTATTTTTCTCAGATTCTCTTCTTGGAACTAATGAAGGAATTGTGTCAGTGTTTTCGTGAAACAGCAAGAAGTGGCTTTCTCCAACACAAAATATGAAGTAGTTTGCAAATAACTTTTAAATTATTCTTTTCAGCTGGTTGGCATGGGCTTGATTTTAATTATGCCATCCAGCAGCTGCTAAATGTTGTTGTAATACAGAAAAAAATGAGACTTAAGTTGTTTGCATTTTTAAACCTGCTATTTAATGGGCAAAGTTAAGGTAGCCTCCATATACTGTGTCGATCCCAACAGGAAAGGTTGCCATTCCTTGTACCACTGCCAGGTTTGTTGTTGGCTCGGAGGTGCTTCCTGTGAGAACCTCACAACTGTGCTGAGTGCCACAGGCTTGTCGGGGCTGGGGACCAGGCTGCAGAGGCTGGCTGGGTGGCTGCTGGAGGCTGGCTGGCGAGAAGGTTGCATTTCATCGATTTTATTGGGAATATCTTCCCTGCTCCTTCATAGTAACCTCACTTTCCCCTTTCGGGCTCTTCTAAAAGGTTATTTCATGTTCTTAGTCTTCTAATTAAGCCTCACTCTTGTTGTCTTGCCCCTGGGCAGTTTTCCGCTATCATGACGTAGTCATTCAGCCTTAAACAGAAATTAACATGACGTTTGAGTCTTGATCTAACTTTCACCAATGCCATAGGATTTTTGGCTTTTGTTTGGATTTCTTTTATTCTGCTGTAACACCTAATTTGAGTTGCTAGCTTCTTTGTGGTGTGGATTGTTCTTTCATGTAAACTGAACATTTATACAATTACCTGCACGGTATCTTTCAATATTTTTGTATGCAAGTGCCAGTGCCAGACATTTCCACCAATAATAAAGGAGTGGCTGAGAATGGCTAAGTTACTTTTAAAATATCTTGCACTGTATTTGCATAGGACCAGGACCACAGCAAATCTGAATTCAGATAATGCAATCTTTATGATTATGTCTTGATTTTGTGATGGATGTCTGGACGTGAAAACTTCTCTGATAACTGCAGTTTCATAGTAGTCATAGAAATTGGTTTTGCATTATTATTTTCCAGGTGTCCTTTCAGAGCCAATGAGTTCTCCAGTGCAAGAGGCAGATGTGTCACCTTACACACAGTACAACAGTGTGCCATTTCCCCAAGTTCAGCCTCAGATTTCATCGCCGCCTTATTACTCCAACCTAGGCTTCTACCCTCCGCAGCATGAGGAATGGTATTCCCCCGGGATGTACGAGCTCAGGAGAATACCCTCAGAGACCTTTTTCACAAGGGAGACGGAGATAATGGATATCCCTGCAGCCAAAAAGCCTAGACTGGGTCACTCCACGGGAAGAGTGAAAGGAGAAGAGCTCTGTGTGGTCTGCGGTGACAAAGCCTCTGGGTACCACTACAATGCCCTTACTTGTGAAGGATGCAAAGGTAGGATGAAATCAATTACAGAATACAAAGCAGCTAATAAGCGCAGCTGTTTCTGAATTTTTATTCTCTTCTTTCTTGTTTATTTTATCTGAGTCATTAATCATTTGAGAGATTTACGTTTGGATCTGGTGTACACTGTTCTGTATTCTCCCCAAGACAGATTGGCAGTGTCTTCCACCATTGCCCTGTGAATAAAGAGCACAGTTGGCCAACCTATGGCTCGTAAGCCATCCTTAGTTCTTGGTAAGCGGAACAGCTTCCATGTGAGGGCCTGGAAGCCTGGCTCTGCCATCTTGGCAGCTCTTGATGCCGATCTCTGCCTGTGGAAGGAACCAAACCCATGGAGGCCCCTGGGATTTTGGTGCTAGACTGCCCTAGAAATTGGCTATGAACTGAGCCCAAATGTAGTGCGCATTGAAAGGAAGTGAAAGCTGTCAGCTCCCACCTGCAGATTGTTCCCAGGGAATTTCTTTCCCTCAGCTCCCAAAGGATATGGCGAGTGTCTTCAGGTTTGTGAAATGAAAGGATTTCTAATTCTGGACTTGCTTCTAGGGATAGCCCCTATTCCTAGGGAGGGAGCTTCTTCAGGAAACTGGTGGTATCTGTAGGATAAATATCTTGCTGCTTAGGAGAACAGTATCCACAAGCTGGCGTCAGGATAAATGGGATAGTGAAAATCATTGCCATTATTAGAAACATGATTGCCAGATATTTTAGCAGAGAGGGACAAAAAGGTTATGCTGATGGAATAACTATTATACCTAAAGACAGTTACTCTGTCACAGGACTGAGGTACATTATAAAAGAAAAACAATGCCCCAGTTTTTTATTCTATTGAAATAAATTCTAGTCAATAAGTATTTCATTATCATTTCTGTTCCATGGATAAAGGCTAAAGCATGGACATTACTGAAGCACTAAAACATCTTAATATGGAGATCACTGTCACTGAGAGTGGACTTTGAAAAGTTTGGGGGTTTTACTTTATCTATTACAAATTCCTTTCTGAGGGCACAACAAACCACACTGGTCAACCACTCTAAACATTAATACAGTCAAGGGTCATAGTTTTTCTCAATAATTCCAATAAATAAAAGATTTGTTTCTTTCTCCTGTCTATATGAATAGTCTCAAAGTTACAAAATATGAATAAACTCATATGAATGTTGTCATTATAAACCAGATTAAACTCAATTTTAATGGGAAGATTCCAAGTAATGATATATTTACTCTGTTAGTAAGCTATTCCTATTGTTTATTAACTTCATTATTAAATGTTTTAGTAATTTTTCAAAGACTTAGAATTACAAACTATGGAATTTGTAAAGAATGTTTCCAGGAGAGAGGTTAAAACCACCAAGTAAATACCCAAATTGAAACCCATGGTGAAAAGAAATATGTGTTCATCTCTCTACTGATTCAGTTTGAATCACTTTATGTACCACAATTTTACTGCTTTATTGGGACAATTTATTTTATGTTTTCACTCTGCTTCATGACTGCAACATCAATTACAAAGAATAGTACCCTTGATCATACATAGTAAAAGTTGAATTATTTAAAGATAATGCATTCTCTTTCTACAATTAACTTTAGATGTAATTAAAGTACCAGCTGATTCAGTAAGATGATGTGCTGAGGATAGTAATTCTGTTTGGCAAGGTGAAAAGGATACTATGTTTTCTAGACCTTGGAACATTCCTGTGTATCTGTGGAATTTTTCACACTGGTATACTTTACCCTCAAACCGTGGTGAACAAAATTGGGCTCAGTACTTCAGTTGTGCTCCTGTCAGTGCAGTAGAAGAACTACCCCACGTGCCTCACATCCAAGTATGAGATTAGCCCTTCCTTTTGGTGACAAGACTGTTAATTCATGCTCAATGTGTCCCCAAAATAATATGCAGGTCCCTTTCTGTAGGACTAGTGCTCACCTTGCAGCACCCCTGCTTCACCGATGCCGTGGACATTCTTATTCAAAGGGGGAGGCTTTGCGCATATTTTTATGGGATTCAATCCTCTGTGATGAATATGTTAATTTTTTCTTTCATTTCTTTCTTGGGTAATGCATTCAGCAACACTCTCCATTCTTTTCAGAATGGAGAAGGCAGAAGGAACAAATATTCAGATCTTATTTATTGTCCCCCATGAGAATATTAATCTAAAGAGATAAGCAGTAGTATATACTTCTATATATTTTGTAATACATTACCAGCCATTAACAAATAAGTATGAACTATTTCATTAATATTTTACATATCATGCAAAAGCAGATTAAATGGAACGTTTGCTCTCATACAACATTTGCTGTGGTACTATAAAAAAAAGAAAAGGCTTCCTTGAGGTTTCTCTCACCTCTAATATATCACTTTAGAAAATGCTGTCTTGATTAACAATAATAGCATCACAATTGTGGTCCATAAAGGATGAGGCAGTTCACAGGCATTGCTACAGTATAGTGACCAATATACAATGCTTTAAAGCCTGCTGCTGTAGAGGCCATTTCTGAGACAACCTTTGCAGAAAGACATCAAAGACTTTTTGGTATAGCCTTAGCCTATGTAGTGATACTGGGTTTTAAAGGCCATTTTCAGGTGTTGCAGAACAAGTGGGACATACTATCATCGCACTTGTTCAACAAAGCCACAGAGCAAGTTCTGCTGAGAGAAAAGCCAGTTGTGAATTCCCTTTGCACAGGCCAGCGGCATGAGCTTTTGCAGTCTTCAAACCACTCCTGATAATGCTTGATGTCAAGTCAAGCCAGACTAAGAATCCTTCTCGCAAAGAAGGGTCACGCTTTAATCTGCTCACATGAACGCCCACCCCATGGGCATGGGGAGAAGGAACACTGAAGCATGTCTTGACAGAGTGGAGCAGGTGCTTCACTAGCAATTGTGAACTTCAAAAACTTTTAAATTGAAAAACCCAAAGCAGCTGGCCATCAGGATGGCAAAGGAAGATATTTACAAAGCTTTCACCTACACTTTTAGCAGCTGTCCTCCTGCAATGTTTATAATTTCTGTAAGAAAAATCAGCATCAGTAGCATTGGATCAGCTCTACCCATAATTAATTATATTCATCACTAGCTAAGAGAACAAAGCAAATTCAACATTCCCAGCCAACGTGAGGTTTTTGCAATTTGGCAAGATCAGATAAAAGTTAGACTGTGCCAGAAAAAACTTCAGCTTTTGGGGCTGCCCTGTCATTAGATTAACAGATGCCATTTCTGATTTATCTATGTATTTTTGTAAAACTCCTCCTGTTATAGAAGGTCACAAATAAAATATTTCAGGCAGTTTAAGTTCATTTTGAATTACTCGTGAATAATATATATAGAAATTCCATTTGTACCAAAAAGCTAATTTAAAAACTAATTATGAAGAAGTCTGTTCAAGAAGACAATAATTCAAGAATCACCTCATGATAAAACTGAAACAAGAGCAGGTTTAAAACTATTTTTTGCCAAAAGATATTTCACTTTTCATTTCACTTTTTAAAAAACTTTATTTTAAAGAGAAAATATTTGACTGCTTAATTCCTGTTGGCTCCTATCAGTTTGCATCCCTAGTTTTGCATTTGTCTTTCACATTCTTACATACTTCTAAAAAATTCATTTATTAAAAGCTCTTTTTCTCTTTGCTCTTCCATGAAAAAGCAAACACATACCTTATGGACAGAGTGAGTGATAAGTCATCAGCCAAACTTAGAATGTCATAAATATTTGTGCAGAACTTTTCAGCATTTACTACTAATTAATGTGTCATGAATTACAGGATTTAGATTTAACAAATAAAATTTATAAATGATGTAAAGCAGATGCAGTTTCCTTTAACCGACACTGAGAACCTACAGCTTAAATCCAGGCCTTTTTCTCCCTTCCCTGACCAGTAAATGGTACTGTATTAAACACCATGTGAATGATGAATAAAAATAATGCCTGGGGCTGCTGAAGGTTCTAAGCAATCTGCATTTCAAAAGAGACTGATGCCAGTCAAGTGTATTTATCTGAAAAGAAGCCAGTAAAACAGACAGCATGGAAGAGATTTCAAGCAGAAAATACAGCAGATTCAGAGAAATGACAGATTTTTTGTGGCCAGGTAGTGGAATTGCTTTATTGGTAGCTACACACTGGTGCTTGGAAGAGATTATGCAATTATAAAAACATGGGCCAAAGTTGGGAAATTGTGATCTGACAATGGCAAAATCATCACGTCATGTGTTTTCTCGCCTAGATTCAGTGGGATGTTATCTTAGGTCAATGCATTCTGAAAACACACAGAAAAATCCTGCAACAGCCAACAATTCAGATTCACGTCTGAATTTTCCCTACGATTTGAGTGTGGAAGACTGGGTCTTATCTGGTGCCTCTCTTAGCGCATCAAAGTGCCAGGTTGGAAAACAATGGTGTTTTTATTGTGCCAGCCAATGGCACTGAGAAAGCAAAAGGTTTGTGAATAACTCTGGATAGTGCAAATTTACGCAGAGCTCTAGTTGGAAGTATACTCTAAAACAGTGATGTGCCAGCAGAAGCTCCCATGAGCCTATTTCAGAGACCTGCCCTCAGATGGGGAGGAGAACTGAGTTTCCCTCCTATGCCAGAGAGAGTTAATTCCCTCTGTACTCCATGCTACATTGTCTCTGCTATACAAAGGCCAATGTAAAAAGATTGTGATAGCACAGCGAGTCATACTAAAAATTCAGGAAACATTCATGATTGGCAGCAGACACTATTGTTTTGTGATGACTCTTTTATTCGATCACATTTCATACCTTCAGCACTCCACATTTTGCCGACGATACCACTCTCAGAGATGTGATAGGCAGCAGCTAAATAGGAGATTCGGACAAACTGAGGAAAGATCCTCTCGGTTTCTTGGATCAGTTGCCATTTGCGGTTACCACTGTGCAATTTTGGAGCGAATCCAGTGACGATACCAGTAGAACTGCCTGCGCAGGTGAAATTAGGTGACTGCTTAACTCATTAGGTGGACAATATTTAGTGAATGAGGCTGGAGTATCCTACAAACAGGAGGATGCCACATGTACAATAGACATGTACATGTAAGCTTCCTTATTAAACTTGGGGGTGAGCAAGGAGACCAGTATGTGGAGCTTCCACGGCTCCCAGGACCTGAGGGAACTGTGATGAGTTACTCAACTCTCTTTCTGCGAATCCTGTATTTCAAGAGACTTAACAGACTCATGTTTTTTTCACTGGCTATTTGTATGGTATCACCCTACAGCTCTAATGCTGGTGCTCAGCTGCTCCTGGCAGGTTTCAGACATGGGTCTGAACTTTCCCAACATTCACAGTTTCAGGACCTTACTTTGGGATACTGTCTAATGTTTGGGCATGTGATTTATCATGTTGATTTATTAAATTATATTGCTTTGATAGTATTCTCAGTACTAATATCAAGAATATAGTCATCCAGGCACTGAAAGAAACTCATAGTGCAGCAGAACATGTGTCATTCAGAAAACCCAATTGAGATGGAGGTGCTCTTCAACTTGACTACTTTGCTTCTTTGAGTGTTTTCTTTTATCTATGTCACTGCTGTGTTGTGCAGGGTTCTTCAGAAGAAGCATCACAAAAAATGCAGTATACAAGTGTAAAAATGGAGGCAACTGCGAGATGGACATGTACATGAGGAGAAAATGCCAGGAGTGCCGCCTAAGGAAATGCAAGCAAATGGGCATGTTGGCTGAATGTATGTATACAGGTATTTGCATCATATAGATAGAGTGTGCAGAAAACACATCAAATACTCTATTTGTTCAATTGGGCTGCTTTTAATAATAAAGCTATAAAAGATGTCACCTGGCCGGTGGAAGGCGCATTAAAGATGCTGTTGTTCCTGTGCATGAAATCCTGTTGAAAAAGGCAAATGCACTTACAAGCAACAGGATTTAGTTAGTGGTCAGGGACCCAAGGGTATAAGAGCTGAGCAAATGGTGAAGGAAGGGCTGTCCTGCACTAGATGACAGCCATTAGTCTGCTCGAGCGGGAAGGAAAAGCATTTGAGGAAGTGAATCTACGGGAAACTCCCCAGGAGTGAGGAGTTTGCAGTGGTGTAGTAGCCAGAGCAGGAAGTCCTGGCACTTCCCTTTGCTACTCTTTCTGGGGGTCTCCCTGTCAAGTTCTTGCTAGGCAAGTCCAAATTCTGGCATTCAAACAATGCCATTTTCAAGAAAAGAGGAGGACTGCCGCTAGCAGGAAGTTTCTGCGGACTTGCCAAGTGTATGTTCCCAGACCTCACCCAGCAATCAGGCAAAGCCTGCTAAGGGCTAGCCCTTTTTTATAGTCTCATTAGCTTTTCTCATGGTGCTATAGATTTTCCTGTCTTGCATATAGGCACATAGGTAGAACCTTCTCCAGAAATGAAGCTGATGGACTTTAATAATGTTTCATATTAAAGCGAATATGCTATTCAGACTGACAGCTTACAAACATCATTGAGCTTCGCATTGGATAACTTAGAATAACAGGGATATTGGAATGCAACTTTGAACACATTTAAAACTCCATTTTGAGTAAAATGTTGGTCATTCCATTATTTTTTCAAGCTTACTCCTGAAAACAGTCTGTAAACATCTGCTTTCCTGCCTTCCATGAACAGGGCTACAATTTATTTTCCTTGATGGCTCCAATCATTTTAGCATACACGTACGTGTGAAACCAATTTAGGTTCATACAGGAAATTAATCTACTTGGAATTTTTAATTTACTTCTATCCCTCAATTTGATCAGAAGATGCTATATTAACTGTTGGTTTTGTGAGAAACAATAAGGTCCATCAATATTTGGAATGCATTGCCAGCATAATGTAATTAATCTTTCATTCTGCAAATTGAACAGGCTACAAAGATCCTGAGATATGACATATTCTCGCGCAATATGTAAATACATGAGCAGAAACCACCACTTGATGACAGCACTCAGTGTGTCCCTAGGTGTCAGGGGAAAATGACTCCCCTGTGGTGCTCATCCCAGATCCATTGTTCCAAAATTTTGAGGGTTCAAAATAGCCTGAATGACTCAGTTTGACAAAAAAACCCCAACCCATCATCAAAAAAAAAAAAAAAAGGTCAGTGTAAATAATACTGACTGGGCCCACATGAAACTTTTAAACTGGCCTATCATTTTCACAAATGGGCATATGTGAAATAAAAGCCAGCGAGTGCCACTGCCATCTGACTCCCCCTCTGCAATGGAAATACTGGGTATCTTGTGCTGCTCATGACTTAACCATAACCATGCTCTAATGCACTGCAATGAGGATGTTTGGCAAGGTAATATTTAATGGCTTTTAAGTAGGAGTGTGCTGTATTATTGCTTTTAGTTCAAGGCAATCCAGGACAGTAAAACATGAAGCGTCTAGTAGTATAGAGCATTTATTTGGAAAAAAAAAAAATTACTAGGAAATAAAAGGTTACCTTGAACTTTGTTTCACTTACTCATTTTGTAGGATTGTAATTGCAAGCTCTGTGGATTCTTTTTTCCCTCTGAACAAGGAGGTAAATTCTTATAAACATTTATGGCACAGCTACTCAGCAATCCTAATCCTGCCCTTTATAAACAACAGATCAAAATTACTGACCATCAATTTCAGTCATTTGCTGTGGTTTTGATATAAACTGCAAGTTTCTTGGGTGAAATGTCTACCTAGGGAAGACCCAGGTTCTACCACTCTTCCTGGAAGGTAATACCCATTTAATACCCATTGAAACCTAGCCATCTCTGAGGTAAAAAGCAAAGTCCTGCCTCTCACATGAGTTTTCCAGCTAACTTAAACAGAGCCAGAATAAGATGTCAAGGTACTACTCACTAACTGGAAGCATGAGTAAAATCTGTTTAAGGCAAATGTAAACCAAATTTTCCCTAGGAAGGTAATAGACCAGATCCTAAGCTGGTGAAAAAAAGTACAAGCCCATTAACACTGCCAAAGTGTGTGAATAATTTAGAAAAAGAAATCTATGATGCTGTGCGGCAGCACAAATTACATGGCTCAATACCAATTATTATCTCCATCATTCCTATTCCCCCCTTTCAAGGTATTATTTGCAGGTCTTATTTTAATCATGTAAATTTCCTCTTCTCTCAGCAGTTCAGGTAGGTTATTTTATATAGTGCTTAAACAGGAAATTAAAAACATTCACAACGAAATTCACTGTTTTCATGGTATCTTCCTCTACCATCATATACTCACCAAATGAGCCTCTTTGCCTGCTCTGCATTTTCAAACGTGAAGAATGGGAAGAATACTTGAAAGAAGAAAGAAAGAAAGAAAGAAAGAAAGAAAGAAAGAAAGAAAGAGAGAGAGAAAGAAAGGAAGGAAGGAAAGTCCTGTGCCGATAGGTTTATTTTTAGATGGATACTTAGCTGTTTGCTTTTTCATTTGTACTTTCTGGCTGTCTTCCACAGGTTGTGTAGGGTACCTATTGTCCCTTTCTTTTGTTAGCACAAGCAAATTGCTATTTTTATGACATCCACACAAGGATGCTCCCTGGTTCAAGGTACTGAAATGTAGTCCAGAACAAAAAAAAAAACAACAAACCACCAGAAATGAAAAAATCCTTTCATTAGGGCAAGTGAAACTCTATAGTAAAACCAGGGCTTTATTCAGTCCTCCAATACAATGAAATGCAAAATAGCAAGACCAACTGGGTAACATTTTAAATAAATACATTTTACAGGTACATTTGCCAGTCTGAGATACTTCTGAGCCTACATTTTCAGCTCTTGGTCTATCTGTATAGTGACACTGTAATGGCTAAAGCGCTGGAGTCCTCTCTTCTGAGAGGGCTTTCTATGTGAAGATTCTGCACTACAGCCATAATAGTGCTTAAAGATTATTGAAAACATTCACTGCTCTTTGTGTAAGAACAGCTGCACCTCGATTACTGTTTTGGATTGGATGAGGAGCACACTCTTGATGACAGTCTTCCAACTGTTGCCATTTATTGCACTTTGATTCGGGTCTTAGAGCACATGAAGGGGTTTTCTTTTGGATGAAACTAAAGACACGCTCCAGCACACTCCCATCACTAATGGGTTTTCTGTCTATAACACCAGATTAGAGCTGGTCCACAGCAAGACCCCTGACATGCACACTGTGTGGATGCTGGGTCACCAGCACCGTTTTGCTCTGCAGATGGGCTCCTGCTGGGCTAGACTACTCATTAGTGTGTACTTAGTATGTCTCATTAGACTCACATCCAAAGATAATGACATGCTCAGGAAATGATCTGACGCAGGTAAGTGTGTTTGTTAGTGTAAAGAGCATTCATGGGCATGTTTACGTACCTATTCAGTGCCTGAGGCATATATAAATCCAATTGCTATCATCTGTTGTATTATGTGTTCTAGGTCTGTTAACAGAAATACAATGCAAGTCAAAAAGGCTACGGAAAAATGTGAAACAGCCCCCAGATCAGACAGTCAATGAAGATAATGAAGGCCATGACATGAAACAAGTGACATCTACAACTAAAATATATAGGGTAAGAAAATTCTTGTAATAGTTCATACAGCAGCGGTAAAGTTTGAGCTAAATGTGGCTAGTACAGTGAATATAGAGTACTCGCAAACTCTCTGGAGCTATCTGTAGGAATTAAAACTCCACCTCCACCAAGTCAAGGAAATACCTTGAGAATAGAGGTAGTTCTGATATTTTTAATCAAAACTCAGTAAAACATCCATAAAATCCATAAAGTATTTTTTTCTGTGATATATGTCAGGTATATATCACATATGGTGAGGTGTGATTAAACTAAAGTTTGAGCATACCTAGTTATTTGCTAAACATTTCCTTATTTTTAATAATAAACCACATGAACTCATGCAGTTTAGAAGCATTACACACCACTCTTCTGTACACTTCTACAGAAATCTCAGTGACAAGCAAACCTCGTCTGCTTGATCTCCAAGTGTTAGAAATAGATGTATAACTTTTGCCTAAAGACAGACATACTAGATGATTTCTATGACTGCATTTCATGATGGGCTTTTTTTTTTTGCCAGTATAGGAGAAAGTAGAATTTACCCCAGAACAGCAAAACCTTCTTGATTACCTCATGGATTCATACAGTAAACAACAAATACCACAGGAGGTGTCAAAAAAACTAGTAAGTATGTTGATGAATTCATTTTTGAGATGTGGATAATGAAGCTGAGGGTTACACGGCAGAAAATATTTGTACTCAGCATAAGGTGTTGTAAGTAGTAGAGCAAACTGTGTAAAAACTTACAGTTAAAACGTGCTGCAAGGGGGGGCAGATTGTCTCCGATTCAGATGTTAGACCTCATCTTTGTTTATCAAATTTAAATGCTAAGAAAAAGCTTTCAACTCTGGAAATACACTTTTATGCTCAAATTTAACCTTTGCTGATTGGAGCTTTGTTTCTTGCATTGTCAGTATAGACAGTGATTTGAGTTTGACTTGCAGCCAAGCTTCCTTTCTATAAAGATACCAGCCTGCAAGCTTGAAAACATTTAATTCTTTTGAACCCAAATAAATGTGGATTGAATACCACATAACTAACTTCTGGAACTTATTTCCATGGGAGGTTGAGGAGGTGAAAACCAAAAATATATTCAAAAAGGAAATAGACAAATTCATGGACAATGAGGTTTTTGGTTAAATATTATGGTGTCCTAAAACTTCTAGCTCAGGAACTGCCTAAATCATTGATTGCTAGACATGACATTGAAAGTGAGACAGATATTCCAGGCAAAAGGACACTGTTTTTCTTTTTTTTCTTTTTTTTTTTGGTCCTGTCTTTTCTTACGTCGCCTTCAAAAAATACCTGGTTTTGACAACCATTGGAGACAAATTACAGGGTTAGATGGACCTATTGCCTGATCCAATCTAATGTGTCTTGTATTTTATGCTTTTAAATGTGAAATGACAATAAATATTAACAGATTTTGTTTGGTTTGATTTTTAACAGTTACATGAGGAATTCAGTGCTGAAGGAAATTTTCTGATTTTAACAGAAATGGCTACCAGTCATGTGCAGGTTCTTGTGGAATTCACTAAAAAACTACCAGGTATATCCAGTGTGTTGGGGCAAATTTTGTTATTGCAAAGCTTACATGCCTTTGAGTTGCTATTTGGTGATTGTTGTGTATATTTGAACACTGTATAAAAATACCTCCTCCTCTGACGCATATGCATTCTTCAGACACTGTCTAAAGAAACAGAGCTTTGTGTTCGGAGAAATAATCTGTTGAATAATTCAAAGTCTGTCACTCTGAGATGTGGCACTCTTTACCTATTGACAAACAAAACGCTCAGAGAAGGGGCTGCGTCTCTAGAGAGATTTCATTTTCATATATCACTGCAGTGCCAAATAGGCTGCCTTTAAATTACCGCTAAGACTTGCCAGACTCCGCTTCACACTCTTTGTGGCCTTTCTAGCAAAGCCTCTAGGTCATAGCATCCACTGAATTGTGAGTCCTAACCAAGAACTTTCCCCAGCTGGTGGCACCAATATTTATAGTCCTTGCGTGGTGTGTTATGGACAAGCACTGAAAACCTGAGTTTATCATTAGTATTTTTTAAACTCTCAAGTTGATGTTACCTCAAGAGTGAACACAAGGCATAGTACAGGTTCCTTGTAATTAAGGAAGGTGCATTGTAATGCTTAGCTGTATGAAAACATTATTTTTCTGGCATTCCCATAGTATTGACCCTCCCGGTGTGTGTTACAGGCTTGCTTCAAAGCCTAGCACTGCAGTTGTAACTATTTTTTTATGCTAACTGGGATACTGACTCACAGTAAGTGAAGAAGGGAGGAGCTTTGTAATTGAACTCAGTGTTGAGTTAGGATACATCTGGCAAGATTTATCACCTTCTTGTTTCATCTCTACTTTGTATTTTACTGTGCTTCCTCACAGAATTGGGGGGTGGGTATTAGGTGGGTACCTGCATTGGCAAGTATGAGGAGAATTTCCCATGATCTTCAGCTCCCTGTTCTTCTTCAGAGGAGCAACTCTGTATTTACACAAGTTACCAAATTCCTTCTGATTTCTTCAGTGGGTTTTAGAGTCCTTCCTCTCCAAAGAGAGAAACGCGTATTTAAAACACAGCAGGAAGCCTGTATGTAAACTAGTATTTTAGTCCAAAGGCAAGGTGAAATATTTAAAATTAGATACTTCAAGTGCTGATTTTTGCCATCAGAGCACAGAAAGGGCTGAAAGCAGCATGGCAGAGGGCGAGTCATACAAAGAGCTCTGGTGGAAACATGGCAGATGTCGGGCAGCACCATCAGTCTAGACAAAATCTCTACTATTGGTTGTGTTATGCCACTAGATTTTGCTTATCATGTTCCTCTTAAAGTACCATGAATCCTGAAACACAAGTCTAATTCTCATAAACTTCAGTCATTTTCTGGAATCTGGGCCCCAGTTTCCATGGCACGTGTCATGCCTGCTAACATCAACATCAAGGTCACGCAGATGTGTAGCACCTCACGTGCAAGAACTTCAAGACAGAAAGTAGCAGGGGCTTTTCTCTTGCTGCCTTACTTATCTCTAATGTCTCCCCAGGCTTCCAAACCCTTGATCATGAAGATCAGATTGCTTTGCTGAAGGGCTCAGCAGTAGAAGCTATGTTCCTCCGTTCAGCTGAGATCTTCAGTAGGAAACTCCCCACAGGACATACTGTCCTTTTAGAAGAAAGAATTCGCAATAGTGGTAAGTATATTGTTTAATGAGGAAAAAACAAACCACATCATTGCACTTCTGTGTCAGTATGTTGTCCTTGAAAAGCTAGTAAAATTGTTTATTAGCACTGAAACAGCTTTATCTGAATGTTGTTCTTTATATTAACTAGAACAAATGTAACTCAGCCTTGAGTCTAAAGGTCATAAGGTAAAGGTTTACTTAAAAATACATTGCAAGTATTATGAATAACATATCAAATAAACCCAGTGCAAGTCTCCAATTATAAGCGTGAAAGAACGATCAAGAAGAAATACCACCATTTCACATTATTCACATAAAATATCAATATTTATGCTTTCAAAGGCAATCACTATATATAAGAAAGGAAAAAAAAAGATTTTAGGATGTTACTGGAGATGACTGAAGATAACTACCTATTCTTAGGATCTATTTGATAAAATTGAATCACACTGCACAAGATGCATGGAAGAATTATAAACATGGCATATTTTCAGTATGTTTTCTGCTTCTTAAGGTCCATCCAAGGCTTAGCTGCTATGACAGATTCTACTGGTTCTAGACATAAATCTTAATAATTACGAAAAGCTGGATATTGTTAGGTCCTTTTTTTTTTTTACATACGCCTCACTGAAAAAAAGACGATGACTAAATGCAGCGAACTGAAACACCCTGCAAAGACAATAGACAGCAGCAAAGGAAATGCAGTGATAGTTGAGTGAGAGATTAGAAGTTAAATTTATAGGAAATGAATGAAGGATTATTCACGGCTCCTAGTGAGGTCCTAAACACTGTCAGGCCATCAACCATAAATTATTGCTGTTAGTCAGAACTTCTGTCCACATATTTTTAGGTGCAAATGTCTGAATGTCACATAAGTCCTGTTGTCAAGCCTTGATGTCTGTATCCATAAAATCAGGGGTGGGGATCCTGCCTAAAAGTCATAAGCTGCCCAGACTTCTGTCACCTGCCACCACATCCACTTGGAAGCTGCTCTCATCTATTAATATTTATGCCTTCCCTTGTCTGACTGCATGGAATGGATTTTTTTTTTTCTCCTGATAAAGAAGCCAGAGATCTGGTGGTGATGACCTTTGAGCATTAGCAGGTTTCGTCTTTATTCTCATGCTGATGAGATGTATTTTTATTTCTCACCTTCAGCATATTGCTCAAGTCCTGGTGCATCTCAGTGACTGCCTTTGTTTGTGCCCTTATGGTCTTTCTCCATAAGGTGTTATGGAAATTCTTTCATTAGCTGCTCCTGAGACTGAAATCCTCTCCTACTCCTTCTAATATTGAGACTTAATGAGAAATACAGACATTTTATTTAATGTTAATGAGATCTCGTGCCACTTAGTCATCTTATTTGATGTTTCACTACGCATACTCCACGTTGTGACTGATTGACTCATTCTGTGAAAGGCTGACATCCTAGTTATTTAATGCTTAGTTTCTTTCTGTTATTTTGAAAGCAAATTCTCCCCATTATTGTGGAGTACAATAATTTTAAAAAACAGTGCTGAGATACTGAATGTTTTCTCAGTGAGAATTTGTAGCTTGTTTTCCTGAGGACACCTGCTTTCAGTGGTCATTAAGAGCCACAGATTTTTATTTTATCATTTTATTCCACATGGTAGTTCTACTAATTTCAGTATCAGGGAATAAGATACTATCTGATATGGACAGAAACACAAGAATCTGGACACAAATTTTCATTTGGCAGCAAGACACCTGACATTGTGAAATATACTGTTGTCTTCCTGGATGGGTTACAGGTGCTGAAGTACAGTGAGATCCAAGGAAAAAAAAAAAAGAAATAGCCACAATTTCAAAGCATTGGCAAGAAGCCACCTTTTGCCCTTGAATGTGGGATGCAAAGTTCCTATTTATTTGGACAAGAGACTCCTGCCACCAAGGGCAAAATCCGGCAGCGGAACAATGGATACCCAATCACTTCCGCTGCCTTGGGCTTTTATTATTTGATTACTAGTACTGAGTAATGGTAGTGCTTCAAAACCCCATTGCGCTGGGGTTTGTGCAGAGAAACAAAATTAAATTATCTTCACTGCTGAGTCCAAATAATCTGAGAGAGAGGAACCTGGCCAGTATCTAGCCTCTTGTTTCTAAACATACCTGTAAATCATAGGTGTTTAACCCTCCAAATGGGCACGTGCATCCACACGGAGGGAGACATTTACCATCTTGGGACTCAAGCTAAAACTGCAAAACCCACACTGCCCAAAACATTTAGAACTTAGGACCACTTTAAATTACAGACTATAGGAAAGAGCTTTTCTGTTTCTATGTGGTACTGCACAATCTATCACATGGAGTTAGCCAGTACCATGTTCCTGAATTACAAATAAAATTGATAAAAGATGTTTACATCGTAGCTACAGAGTTAATTTATACCCATGAAAACAAGAACAGATGTCAGAGGACCCAATCTCTTTTCTTCTGCATAAGTGTGCTTCTCCAGGCCAAAAACTTATCTAAATAGACTCGACCTATGAAGACTAGCTCAAGGCAGTGCAGATGCTGCTGCTGTGTGCCAGACCGCACTTCTCTCCAGACTGCAGGCACTCAGGCCACTGCCAAAGGATGGTATGTGGCAATGTCATTTGCATCCTCCTTGCAGGTTTGGTTGGATTGTTGTTCTTTGTGTTGTGTTTTTGTTTGGTTGGTTTTGGGTTTTGTTTTTTGTTGGTTTTTTTTTTTAAACTAAGGTTTCCTTGCTTACAATGATGGCTTCACAATAGTCCTATTGATTGCTTTTGAGAAGACGGGTTTTTGCTGTCCTGATTGTGAGTTCTCCTTGGCACATGCTGACCTCTCATTTAAGTTGTCCATTTAGCCTCTACAAGATGATGATAGAGGAGAGGTCACATGAACATGCTCTGGTCTATTTTCTCTACTGGCTACATTTTCCCCTTTTCATCTCTCAACATCAACACAGTGAATTTGGTCAGTGTTTAAAGGGCCACTGATGTATTTGACCAGGCTAGAAGGCAGAGCTTCTAAGCAGCATGGAAAACAGTTCTGGTAGATGAAACACTGTGAAAGATAAGATGTAATTTTGCAAGTAATTAATATATTTTATTTTCATAAAACAGCTACTAATATACCCTTGGGCACCTCCATATTTATCAAGAAAAAAAGATCTCTTTATCCATATTAATCACACAGTGCTAGTTACTGTTAATTAGTACTTGCTCTCAAGCTTTCCTCTTGCAATAGATTAATCTATTCAGTTCTAATGAACAGCCAAAATAGAAGAGATAATACTAGTCTCAAAAAGCTGGCAATACTGACTCGATATCACAGTAAAAACATCTATTCCAGGATTATGTTAACCAGATAATTATTTATGAAACTGCAAAACTTACGAAAGCAACAGTCATCTTACCTTCAGAGAGAAATCATAGGAACAAAACCCTAAAAAAAGGCAAGGTCTAAACCAACGCTGTGTCTTAAGCTACAGACAGGAATGAAATTGTGCAAGAAGTAAGGGGTGCTGAATGAATAAAGCTCACAGACTTAAATCTGCTCCAGTCTAATGCCGCAAGGCCGTACTCAGTAAAGCTAGTATTTCCCGTTGACTACCCTGGGGTTTACCACCAGTCATTCATTAAGAGAGCAAAATCAATCAAATGAATTGTAGTATCTTTCACAGATGATAGAGTTGGGCTGGTGGTTTGGTAGAAATCTGTGTAATTCAGAATGATGCACAATGCAACACGAAGGAGGGGTATGTGCTTCTTGTCATAATGCAGCATGAAACACAGTTTTTGAAACATTTTTTGAGAAAAAGCAGAGAAGGAGGCACCATTAACACTGACTGGGAAGCCCTGCCTAGCTGACACAGTACTGTGCAGTGCTCATCTGATCTAAACAAAGAGGGTTCGACGAAGAACTTTTCTGTTCTCAATGAGGCCAGAAATATAATTTTATCTATTTGATTTTTTTCACTTTCGGAGTATGATTTGTAACAATGACATTTGAAAAGTCATATAATTCATGTCTCCTCTAGCCTTTCCAGTTATGAGCACCAAATTGCCTTTAATTCTTTTTCTGATAACCTGAATTGAAGTGACAACATCTTGTACGGTAGATAAGGAAAAAAGCAAGAACTATAAACATCTGTTTCCTGCTTTTTTGCTTTCTGGTGGAGCTTATTAAATCCAAACTGAAGCGTTTTCAATCACATTAGAAAACAGCCCCCTCTTGTGATGGAACAGCGGTTTGTGGAATGTGCATACAGGATGATGAAATAACAGGGAAACTCCAGCACAGGTAGGATAAGGACAAAACTAGTAACCAGGAAAAAATTCCATTAACTGAGTCTCAGAATTGCTCACTTTGCATGGTTTTATTCATAATTGTATTGTGGCATATATATATTTAAAGATTTCAAAGTTCTGTTCTCTTTAGTAAAAGCAGTAAATCAGCTGCGTTGCTGAAACATCCCTTTTTAGTCCCTTTCACCTCTTCTGTTTCATTTTATTTCTCTGTTTGGAGTGCAGTAGTGCAGAGAAGCTTTCTGCCTTAATTTCATTTGCTTCCACATCTATACTCTTTTTGCTTCACCCATCCATGCTTTAGTTTCTTTATGCTAGATTATAAGCTTTCTGGGGTAAGTATTGTTTTACTGCATGTTTATACAGTGCCTGGCACAAGAAGGACCTGAATTAGTTATTCCACACCCTGTTCACCGGCATCATTTTCATCCCACTTCTGCTATATTGAAAGTAGAACTTGAGGAGCTTTGTGATCAGCAAAACAATGAATTCATCCAGCTGAAAACTAACCTGACTCAAAAACAAAACAAAACAAAACAAAAAAAATCAGATGATGAATATGAGAAACAAATGATGGGAGTCTTAGTCACAGCCCACTTCCTCCCATTTCCTGTCTGCTGCCAAGACGATCGTGCCCAGCGGCGCGATACCTTGCAGAGAGACTTCTAAAAATATCCAGTTTGTCTTGGACTTCTCTCATACAATCGCTCAGCTATTCACTTCCACAAAAGGAATTTGTTTGCTTTGCTTTAGGGCTCAGCTAGACTTACTTTTTCTCATTTCTAGATTCACATGAACTTTAAGACTTTGGTGTGTTATATGGATGTGTTCCTTACGAATGTCATATTGTAAGGAACTTTGGCATTTAAAACTGCCCAAGAGAGAGACGATAGGACGTTCCCCAAAAGTTAGCAATAACAAGTGTCCAAAATTTTAAATAGTTAATGTGGATGACTAACGACATCAACCTCGCAGAACATTAGATGCTATGACTATTATTTGCTTTGTATAAAGTTCCAGCTGTGTTCCTAACTTCCACAGGATGAGCTGACTCGCATCATATGTATCTGCTTAATTGACTTAGACTCTTCTCAATAATGTTGAACCCGTTGCAAAAACAAGATTTGTGGCTTGCAATCTGAACATAGGTTGCTCATGTCACATGTTTAAACACATCATTCAGCCACAAAATAAACCTCACCCTGCAAGACCATACTTTCGCTCTGTTGGTACACACAACTATTCCACTGGTTGAAGTAAGTTCTCACTGTCACAGCACAATGTGACTTGTTCATAGTTAAGTCAAGTGACTTCATGTTTCCTTTCTTTGAGTTCCACTTGCTGAGTTTCATTTTGAATTTCCCCTGTTGGAGGCACTCCAAACCTCACCAGTCCTGGACTTCAGCTTCGTGTTGCATACAGCACTCAAAAGCGCATTATTTCATGTGGCTTCCGCAGCAACTTAGAAAGTTTTCTCCCAGAACAGCTCAAAATTAAGAGTAAAATGACAAGAAATCCTATGGCCTTCATCTGTGGGAACGGAAGAGGTTTCTATCTTTTCAGCCAAGGAAGGACTAAAGGCTTCTTGCTGCAGAACCACTGGTTCAGATCTCTACACCTCATCCATGCTACCGCTTCAGAGTTGCAAGCAGCCATTGCCAACAGTCAAGTAGCCTCTGAGTGACTCACACTCACCAGTTTAAAAAAAATAATAATAAATTTGATGTCATGGGACCTACTTCTCTTTTACACCAAAAAGCAGAATGGAGTACATCTGTAATTTAAGGCTAAAAGTAAGAACATTGTGACCTGATGATTAAGTAAGAGGAAGCTCCGTTAGCATGCCCCAATTTGGTAATCCCAAAGGGTTTTGCTGATGGCGAGAGAATAGCATGATCCCATCCTTAAACTGGGCTGGATTGTAATTATTTATAGCTCTGTACTTTATGGTTTATGCTGGAAGGTAGGAGTAGTTGCAAGCAAGTTGATCTCGGACTACAGGTAATCCTAGACCTAGATAAAGTTTCAGGCTACATAAAAGGAGCAATTAAGACTCTTTATGGAGACAACTGAAACAACTACCCAAGGCCGCTAGATGTAGAGTAGAATTGGGCTGGAATTAAGCCATACACCCTGAGAGGTTTCCACATAACAAAGGTAAAGAGAGGGAACATGGGGACTGTTTAGCAAACTGTGCGTACTGGAAACAGAAGATAGCTAGAATATCAGCAGACAGCAAGAAAAACATGTATGAGGCTTGTCCTGAAGAGCTAGACGGACAAACTTCATACATGTTAGAGGAAAAGGAATCGCTTGAAAGAAAGACTTTGAAAGCATGAAAAGAGAAATTGCCAGCGCTTGCCTGTTTCTACTCTGATCTGGAAAACAAGGATGTGTTTGCCCTTTTTAAACTCTCTTACATCAGGCCTGACTTGTGTAGTAAATTTATCCCACCGAGACAGTGAAGGCTTCAAATACTAAATAATTGCTCTGTGGCAATAAACCAGATTATTTCAATAATTAAAAAATATTTTAACTTTTTTTCTCTCACAGGTATCTCAGATGAATTCATAACTCCAATGTTTAATTTTTATAAAAGCATTGGAGAGTTGAAGATGACCCAGGAAGAATATGCGCTGCTCACAGCCATAGTTATCCTGTCTCCAGGTAACTTCTAATCCAGAATTAAATATTAGTAGGTTTGGAAAGAACGCATGAGGAGTGTGACCTGAGACTTGTAAACCCTTATATTCTACATACAATAAGTGAGCATACACATTTATTTAGAATATTCAGCTGTTAAACCAGAAAACGAGCACAGAAATCCAAACTCAGAATGTCCTGCTACATTATTTGGTTTTGAATGCAAGGAAAAAAGTGCCTAAATACCCTGCTTAAAAAACCTACTGGTACCTGATTACTGCTTGGCACAATGGGCTCTTTCCTTCAGAAAATCCCAGATGTGGTTACATGTATGTCACTACAGCCCACTGTGGAATGTCACATTTTTTTTAGAAGGAAATGGGGAAACCCTATAACTTAGAGGATGGCAATGAAGATCTTGAGCCTTTATTGAACAAACACCAGCTGGCAAGAGCAGAAGGACAGTAGCAAGTTGCCCTCTTGACTACAAAGCATTGGAAACCAACCTTTCAGAAGTATCGGCACAATAGCATCTCAGCCCTGATTACAGGCTTTGCTGTAAAAACTAATACTTTGACGACAAAAACCTAATCAGCTCTGCCTACAAAATAAGGAGGAAAAGTATAGTGCCTCAAACATGCTGACTATCATAGAAATGGGAGAAGAGAAGCCTGATGCTTCAGGACAAAAGACAGACACTAAATTTTCCAAATTGGGTTTCATGGAAGATGGGAAGGTGAAGCAATCCCATCACTCTTTGAGTCAGTGTGGCTCAGGAAATTTTTTTACACCAAAAATTTCAGTGACAAAAGAACCCATCCTCCTCTTTTCCTCCCTCTCCAAATACCCACACTCACGCTTCCATATGAACAAAATAAAAAGTATTTTCTAACAAAGACATTTCATATGAGGATGAAGATGTTTGATTTCTCCCTGGTGACCTGTATGTACACTCTTCTTTACTGGCCAGATTCCCCGGTTGTACGACATCTCCCAGAACTTACGTCGTGCTCAGTTGCTGCAATGCATCGCAGGATGTACTCAGGTGCATTGGGAGATGATGATACAACTGCAGAGAAACATTTCCTGGTTAAAACTCTTCAGTTTTTGAAAACGTTGAAAGTTTTCCCTCGCTAGAAGTGGGAAGCTGACATGAAAACCCTGAACCAAAAATACAATGTTAAAGCATTTTTATTCCCTCTTAATTTGAAAAGAAATATTCTTGGTAGGTGTGAACATCAGTGCCCAGTGTAAATATTTGAATAGTTTGATATTCATTTATCAGTGTAATTATTTACATTTTATCAGAGCATATAGTTGCTAATTACTTCTTTTCTTTTAAAACCATAACCAGATCGACAATACATAAAGGACAGAGAGTCCGTGGAAAAGCTTCAAGAACCCCTGCTGGATATTCTACAAAAATTCTGCAAACTTCACCACCCGGATAACCCTCAACACTTTGCATGTCTTCTGGGCCGTCTTACAGAATTACGGACATTTAACCATCATCACGCAGAGATGCTGATGTCATGGAGAGTGAATGATCACAAATTCACACCTCTTCTCTGTGAGATCTGGGATGTGCAGTGATGGATACTTTTTATTTTAGGAGAAATATCTTTTTAAAGGACCACATAGCATTTATTTTCATAGAAAAATATCCCACAGTACATTAAATTTTCTTTACTGCATTTTTATATACATGCCAGGGATTCATAAAAGTCATTTTGTTCACTATACACAGAACATTGTATAGCTATCAGATTTTCACACGTAAGTATAATTTTCTCTGTATTTATATTCTCTAATCAGAAAGAGCCCAGCAGCTCCTCAGAGGAACCCTGTTAAT